TGGTAGCCCAGGCTGGCCTCGAACTCACAGAGATCCACCTGCCTCTGCCTCCCAAGTGCTGGGATTAAAGGCGTGCGCCACCACCGCCCGGCTCTTCTTCTTCTTTTTTAAAAAGATTTATTTTGTATACAGTGAGTGTTCAGCCTGCAGAAGAGGGCACCAGATCTCATTTAGATGATTGTGAGCCACCATGTGGTTGCTGGGAATTGAACTCAGGACCTCTGGAAGAGCAGTCGGTGCTCTTAACCTCTGAGCCATCTCTCAGCCTGCATCCCAGGTCTTAAGGGTCCCCATGGCCATGCCCCAGGGGCAGGTACCTCAAGGTCATGGGCAAACGTACCAGCTACAGCTGCCTCACTGGGGCGGTGCTTCAGGGCACGGCGCCAACAGCTGCCCACTGCAGCCTGGGTACACAGGGAAACTCTGTCTCCAAAACCAAGCAAACAAAAGTTCCTTGTGATGGATGGACTTTGAGTCTGGGCAAGTCCCTCATCATTCTTTTGAAGAAGCAGCTTTATTATGATATACCACACATCTACAATAGATCATTTCAAGTAGTCACTTAGTATACCTGTGGGTGTACAGCCATTATAATTAAAATAGTCCACCCCCATCTCAGCCCTAGGGCTTGTCTACTCTCTGTCTCTGTGGGTTGCCCAGACTGGACATTTCAGAGACATGACATCATAACGTGTTCCTTTTTGTGTCTGCACTCTCACGTTCAACAGTCTTCTTAGGTTTTTCTGACTGTCATCTTTACTTCATTTACTAATATCCCCTTACATGGATGTGGTACATCTTCTATATCCATTGGCCATTTGATGAATCTTTCGGTGGTTTCAGTTTGTGACTTAGGAATTATGCTGCCATGAACAGCCATATACAAGCCTGTGTGTAGACATCTGTTTTCTCTTGGACATAGATTTAAGAGTAAAATTGCTAAGTCATATCGTAACTTTCCATTTAGCCTTGTGGAAATGGCCAGATGTTTTCCAGTGGTGGAAATAGCAACCATTTTATTACCCCCAAGCAGTGATGAGGTTCAGGTTTCTCCACTCCCTTGACAATACTTGCTATTGGCCATCTTTGGAGCCTGGTGGGTATGAAGTAGCTTCCGGTTGTGGGTTTGATTTGTTTCCTGAATGTAATGATGTCCAGCCTCCTAGGGAACTGTTGTCACCATATATCTTTGGAGAACTGTTCAGACTCGAGCACTCTTCCCTGGGATAATGTCATCCAGTTACTCTACCAGCCCTTTAGCAGATATATGAACGGCAGACTCTCCAATTCTGTAGGAAGGCATTTTCTTTTTCCTCATGTATCCTGAGGAACCTGTGACCCTCCTGAGAGCTAGGATAACGTGGTTTGTCACTGATGCCTCCCTCCTTCTACGGTTTCCTTCCTCCTTGGCCTCTTTTTCCTGTGCTGGGTATTGAACCCATGCCTCACGCACAGTGGGCAAGCACTCCACCACCGGTCTCCAGGTCCTCCCGCCCCTCTCTTTTTTGAGACAGTCTCACACTAGCTCAGCCTGGCTTAGAACTCACTGAGTGGCTTAACTCACTGGCCTTGAACTGTTGGTAGTCCTCCTGCCTCAGCCTTCTGGATGCTAGATTATAGGTATGATGGCCTCTAGCCATCTTTTTAGTTTTTGAGACAAGGGCTAAATTGCTAAATTGGCCTTGAACCCTAAGTTCACCTTTTTAAGCCATGTTTTTCTAATTTAGTCTGATTACCTTTTATCTTTTAATTCAGTTTTATAAATTTTTTGAGAGGTTTTAAATTTTTAACATTTTAAAACAACATGGGATATAGTTCACTAATAAACTTTAACTTGTTTTTACATGTGAACTATATTATAGTAGTCCCTGTAAGAATTAGCTTTACCAGGGGGGACCCTAGGATGACTGTGCCTTATAATAAGTTTTGGTTTTATTCAATCACTGGGCAAGCCTCAATGAAACATTTCACTGTTAGGATAAGGATTTATACTATATCAAGCTGATAATAGAAAGATAAATAAATAAAAGAAAAAATAAATAATAAAGGACCCTGAAGGAGGAAGCTATCATTTTCCCTGCTTGCCCTGGCTCTGACTGCCAAGTTCATTCCTTTACCAGCATTAGAGCCCACTTCCTTAGGATTGTGGTGTTTACTGAAGAGCAGCTGAGATACACAGCCTCATGAACTGAACAACTACTGAATTCTTCAAATTTCCACTGGTAGCAGCCATTGATGGACTAGTGAGATTCTAATAAATCCACTTTCTTCCTTAAAAAAAAAATTAGCTTAACGATGTATATAGCACACCAGACCTGTAATTTCAGCACCTGGGAGATGGAGGCAGGGAGGGTTAGAAGTTTAAAACCACCTTTGGTCACAAAGATTTTGAAGCCAACCTGGGCTACATGAGACCCTGCCTCACTAAGAACTTAAAAAAAAAGGTTTGTTGTTACAGTATTCTGGTTATTTATTGCTGACAGAAAGCCATCCCCAAACACAGTAACTGGGACAGTCCTTTCTTCCCCTTAGGACTCTGCAGGCTGATTAGACTCAGCTGGGCAGCTGCCACTTGAGGCCTCCTGCAGCTGTGGTTGGTTAGACGATGTGAAGCTGGAAGCATCTGAAAAGCTAAAGGCCGCACACAGGGCAGCCGCTGGGACTGGCCTGCTACAGGCGTGGCTGAGCTTTGCCTTTCCCTGATTAGACCAGGCTACCCAGATTCGTGGGGCAGGGTGCCTTAAACCTCACCTTGAAAGAAGAGCAAAACTCCCTGGCTATAATTAACTCACAAACTACATGTTTGTGCTAAACGTTAGCACATGCCTCTCGTCCAGTTTTAACCTTTCTTTCCCTACGTCAAACAGATTTAAGCAGTTCTGTGTACAGTGAGATGTCTTTCGGCCCAGAAGAGTTTGACTTCTTTCAAGTTGGACTTGATACCGAAATAACATTTTGCTTTAAAGAACTAAAGGTAAGCAAATGCTTCTGCCGAAGTCAAACTTGAGTTTTTCATATTACTTATAGAAGAGTGATCCCCACTTTGTCCTCCTCTCCCTGCAGGGGATCCTCACCTTTTCAGAAGTGATGCACGCTCCCATAGCCATCTACTTTGACTTTCCTGGGAAGTAGGTCCTCAAGAACTCTGTGTCTTTCCTTTTGTCACCAAAAACAAAAGCCTTTGGAGCATGGTGAAGTTGATGTCACACCCCAGGACTCTTTCAACTTTACTAGCAACATTTATCAAACGAAAAGTTTAAAAGATGCCATAACATGGTGCTTTAAAATTGGTAATGGACCAGATGTGGTAGCACATGTCTGCAGTCCTGGCATGTGGGAGGTGGAGGCAGTGGGATCAGGAGTTCAAGGTCAGCTTTGGCCACACAGGGAGTCTGAGGCCAGCAAGTGCTATGGGACCTTGTCTCAAGGAAACAAACGTAATTTGGTACTTTGACCGAGAATGTTAATTCTTCTGCAATGTGAAACATTTGACTGGCTCCTGACAAAATTGTCGAATTAGGAAATTATGCATTGCTCAAACACGTGAGCTCTGTGTAAGCCTTTAATGTAGTTCAGAACTAAAACTGAATCAGATCGGTTTCCTGTGGTTGCTAAGTGCTTCCCAGCTCTTAGGTTTCCTGACCTGTGAAAACATGGATGGAGTCCTGCTGTCTTTATCGCTTAGCTGGTGGTACTTGCTGATGTGTTCCTAACACTCTCAGAAATGAGCATGGTTTGTGCTGATTGTCCTTCTAGACCGGTTGTTTTGAGTGTTGACGACATGCTCTTGGAGGCGAACTTTATCTTGGCCACGTTAGCGGATCAGCCAAGCAGAGTGTCTTCACCACAGTCACTGTGTCTTTCCCAGACACCAAGAAGGTGAGGCTGGCAGATTTCTCTTTCTTTTTTAATACTGGGGGATGGCGCGTGTGCTGCACTGTGAGGTCAGAGGATGGCTCTGTGTAAGTCCTGCCTTCACTGTGCTTCCTTCGCACAAGGTAGCTGCCATTCACAGTGGGCCTGGGAACTGGACATTCTCCTGTCCCCGGCATAAGAGCACTGGGGTTAGCAAGACTGACTGCCGAGTCCAGCTTCCAACAGGGTCCGAGCTCAGGGCCTCCCACTTGTGTAGTGAGGGCTTTACCCTTCATGCGGAAACAAGTGAGTGAACCATTAGATCAGAGTTTTCTTTTGAGACAGCGTCTCTCTACATAGCCCTGCTGTCCTGGAACTCAGTATGTAGATTAGTTGGCCTTGAACTCTCAGAGATCCACCTGCCCGTGCCTCCCCAGTGCTGGGATTAAAGGCATTACCACAACTGGCTCATAGTTATCTTTTTAAAGATTGAAGTCATAGGCCATATGTCATTTTAAATCCTATTCTCTCCATGACATACATATTACAGACATGTTCTAGTGTCATGATCTATGATTCGAAAACATGCATTTTCATGACTTTTATAAAACTTAATCCAGGGGCTGGAGAGATGGCTCAGAGGTTAAGAGCACTGGCTGTTCTTCCAGAGGTCCTGAGTTCAATTCCCAGCAACCACATGGTGGCTCACAACCATCTGTAATGAGATCTGGTGCCCTCTTCTGACATGAAGGCAGAACACTGTATACATAATAAATAAATCTTAAAAACAAAACAAAACAACAACAACAACAAAAACCATGACCATAGCAACTTCTAAAAGAGAGTGTTTAATTGGGCTTATAGTTTCCAAGAGTTAGCGTCATGATGGTTGGCAGCAGGAACAGCTGAGCGCTCACATCTTGATGCACAAGCAGAGAGTGCACTGGGGACGGTGAGAGTCTTTTAAAGCCTCAAGCCCGCCCCTGTGACACCCCCCCCCACCAGGGCAACACCTCCTGATCCTTCCCAAACAGCTCTACCAACTGAGGAGCAAGCACTCAGCAGATGAGCCTATGGGGGCTGCTGTCATTCACACCAGCAGACAGGTCAGCACACTCCATGCATTTCTAAATGACTGTCCACACTAACCTCACCTTTCAACAAGTACTTCTGTTACCAGACTGCTAATCCACAGCTCTCATCATCATCTCACATGCTCTCAGTTACGTAAAAATACATTTCCCACTAAACAACTCCATCTAATCTGTCTTAATACCCCAGGCCAGACCCCACACGGTCAAATGTCCAGGGGTGTAAAAGCCAAGCCAGCCTGGCCCCAGAGAGCATCTCTCGAGCAGCACCCAAGAGGCTGTTTCCCAAGGAGCCTCCGGACAGCAGCTCTGCAACAGAGACCGAGAGAGCCAGCGCCAACCAGGACGACATCTCTGAAGTGCCTGAAAGTATCGTCAGTGACGTGGAGGAAGGGCCAAGCCCTTCACACCTCACGAAGGTAGGAGAGCGGTGCTGAGGCGGTCATGTCAGCCTGCTTCTCAGCATCCATCTTGATGCAGACCCAGCCAGGCCGCCTGTGTTGTGGGGGATGCTCTTTCAATATATTATATACTTTGAGGAAATTCACCCCTCTACCCTCTCTCCCTCCACTCTCCACCCCTCCTGCTAGTCTCCTTTCCTCTAGTTTCTCCTCTGCTTTCACATCTGTATGTGTCAGATATGATCATATATATGGTGTAATGTATCCACAGGGAAAACATGCAATTCTTATTTTCCTTACGATGACCTCCATTTGCATCCATTGTCTAGCAGATTACATCATTTCATTCTTCTTTATGGCTGAATAAAATTCCATTGCATAGATATACCACACTTCCTTTATCCACTTACCTGATGATGGACAGTCAGGCTGACTATATAAGATGGCTATTGTAGAATAGTGCAATAAAATGGATGTGCAGGTGTCTCTTGGAGCATGTTAAAGGTCCTATGGTTATACCTAGGAGTGATATGGCTGGGGTATCATATGGTGACAGAAATTTCTAGGGCTTATGTTGTTTTGGAGAGAGTCTAATGTAGCCCAGGCTAGTTTTGAGCTCCTTATATAGCCAAGGATGGCCTTAAACTTGTGATACTTGTGTCTCTCCCTCCAAGTGCTAGGATTACAGGCATATGCCACCATACCTGGCTCTTTTTGGTGTTCAGACAGTCTCTTGTAGTCCTCACTGGCCTTGAAGTATGTACTCAAGGACAGCCTTGAAGTCCTGATCCTCCTGACTTGCCTCCCAAGTACTAATCACAAGTGTGCCACCATGCTTAGCATAAAATGTATTTCTGAGGAATCTCTGTACTGATTTCCTTAAGGCATGGATTAATTTACATTTCTTTTTTTGTTTGTTTGTTTTTTGTGGGGTTTTTTTTTTTTTTTTGAGACAGAGTTTCTCTGTGTAGTTTTGGTGCCTGTCCTGGACCTCGCTCTGTAGACCAGGCTGGCCTCGAACTCACAAAGATCCGCCTGCCTCTGTCTCCCGAGTGCTGGGATTAAAGGCGTGTGCCACCACCGCCTGGCTAATTTACATTTCTACCAGCAATGTATAAGAGTTCCTAATTCCTAACATTCTTGCTGACATTTGTGAGCAATGGAGTTAGAGTTGTGAGCTGTCATGTGGGTGCTGGGAATTGAACCTGGATCCTCTGGAAGAGCAGTCAGTGCTCTTAATCACTGAGCCATCTCTCCAGTCCCAAGGGTATTTTTTGAGACCTTGTCTTAAAATAATAAACCAGTCAGTTGTGGCACAAGTCTTTAATCCCAGCAATCAGGAGGCAGAAGCAGGCAGATCTCCATGAGTTTAAGGCCAGCCTGGTCTACAGAGTGAGTTCCAGAACATCCAGGGCTGTTTGTTACACAGAGAAATCCTGTATCAAAAAACAAAACAAAACAAAAACCCCCAAATAAATAAAATAAACAAGTAAATAAAATAAAAAGTTTTAAGAACAAACTGGGTCACACATGCATCTCTTGTTAGAGTTCGGCCTTGCCGGGTAGTGGTGGCACATACCTTTAATCCCAGCACTTGGGAGGCAGAGTTCTAGGACAGCCAGGGCTACACAGAGAAACCTTGTCTTGAAATCTGCCCCCACCTATCCCTCCCACACATAAAAAGTGTGACCTTAGGGTAAATTCTTCCTAAGTGTGATAACTGACCCAAGTGTGTAGAGGTTTTCTTTGAGGTCCTGTCTGCTTGCTGTAGCAGTCAAGGGGGTGACAGGTTTCCCCAAGTCTGCAGACAGCATGTGATGCCAAACTTGGAAAAGAAATCATTGCCAAATTTATAGTTCAAACTTTGTTTGCTTTTAAAAGGTTTTATGTATGTGTTAGTCTGTTTAAGTGTGTGTGCCACATGTATACCTGGTGCCCACAGAGGTCGAGGTGGATCTCTTGGAACTGGAGTTACTGATGGTTGTAAGCCCCTATGTAAGTGCTGGGAACCAAGTCTGGATTCTCTGCAAGAGTAGCTGGTGCTCTTAACTAGAGTCAGCTCTCTAGCTCAGTTTTTTATTTTTGAGTTCAAGGTCTCTCTACATATCCCTTGCTGTCCTGGAACTCGTTATATAGACCAGACTGGCCTCAGACCCACAAACCCACCTGTTCCTTAGTTCTGGGACTAAAGACCGTTTGTTTTTATGTGTATGTGTGTCTGCCACATGTGTGCAGTGCCCAGAAATCAGAAGAGGGGTCAGATCCCGTGGAACTGGAGTTCCAGGCAGCTGTGAGCCACCCAGCTTGTGGGAAGATGGGGACAGAACTCAGGTTGCAAGTCTCCACTCTCTCCACATGGTTTCCGTTTGCATTTCTCTGATTGCCAATGAAGTCGAATCGCTTCTGGGAACTGAACTTGGGTCTTGAGAAGAACAGAACCGCTCTTACCAGCTGCACAATCTACAGCCCTGTTCCCTCTGTGTGCTCACTGGACACACAGGCTCATTATTATTCAGTCACTATCTGTGATGTTCGGTGCACCCACCTACACATCTTATATTGGTTTTTGTCGTTGTTGTTTTTCCATGCAAAGCATTTTTTTCCTTTACATAGTACATTTTTTTTTTTTTTAATTTCAAATGATTTTGAGTCAATTAGAAAGCTTTCCTACACGGGTTAAGAAATCCACCCCTTTCCTCTTTGTTTACTCACTGAGCCATCTGGAGTCTGCCTTCGTGCATGCTGTAAATTATGTGTCTCACTTTGTCTTTCCAGAATGGCTATGCAGCTACCCTCTAAACCTTTAAATTACAGCCTGCCCTGGCCCGGGCTCCGGTGTCTCCTTTGCTGTGTCAGAAACCTGGTACACTTGTGCCAGTGTCTGGACTTCTGTGGCCCACCCGAAAGTCCCCTCTGCCTTCACTGCCTCCATCGGTGGCCTCTAGTGTGGTGGCCTGGTGGATTTTTACAGACTGATCCTTTTCTACTCCCGAACATTGACTTGTGATTTAAACTTCAGTAACGGCTCACCCATTTCCAAACACAATGCCTGTTGGTGTCTGAACCACCTCTCACTTCTGTAACTTAGGCAAAGCACCGTTATGCTGTTCACTTATCCACCCGTAACCAAGCGATGGCTTTCTCTTCAAGCCCACTTGTGTCTTTGAGGGCTCTTTTAGAATTCAGACTTTAAAAAGTGATTTGTTTTTCATTTGTTTTTCTTGAGACAGTGTCTCATGTTGCCCAGGCTTGCCTCAAATTTCCTTTGCAGCTGAGGATAGACCCCTTGTCTCTATCTCCCAAGGGCTAGGATGCACTACCACACCCAGCTTGTTCCTGTGGGAGGTGGTGTATATAGTGAAGACAAGGTCTCACTATGTAGCCCAGATGAAAACTCTGTCCTCATGCCTCAGCCTTCGGAGTGCTAGGAGTTAAGTGGGCAGCACATCTAGCTTCTTCATAGGGGTTGTGTATCTACTGTGAAGGGGATTTCTGGCTGGGGACGGAGCCCATGCTAGGAATTCCAGCACTTGCGAGGGTGAGGCAGGAAGATTGTGAGTTCCAGGCCAACCAACCACTTTAGAACTTTAGAGATTCTGTTTCTAAATAAATGATGAAGTGTGTGTGCGCGCGCGGGGGTGGGGGTGGGGTGTCAATAGAGTGCTTGCTTAGGATGCCCAGGGTTCTGGGTTTGATTGTCAGCATTGTACGAGCCTGGTGTGGTGGTGCACATAGTCGTAGGCCAGCTTGGGCTCTGTGACTGTTGCTGTAGACGTTCTCTCTACTGGTGTGCACTGACTACAAACGTTTGTGTGCACAGCTACTCTGCTGTGTGTTGACTGTCTCTCCACTAGGATCTGTTGTCTTCTGGCTCTTGTTGGGTTCCCTGGCATAGTCACCACAGACAGAGGCAGGCATCCTGCTTCCTCCCTATCCCGGGGAAGGTGTGGTGCAAGTACTGTCTTTTGTTTGGTTTCAAGATAGGGTTTCTCCATGCAGTTTTGGTGCCTGTCCTGGAACTCGCTCTGTAGACCAGGCTGGCCTCGAACTCACAGAGAGCCGCCTGGCTCTGCCTCCCGAGTGTTGTGACTGCTTCCTTAATGTGTGTGTAGTGTGTCCATGGAGGACTGAAGGTGTTGGAGTTATAGGCAGTTTTGAGCCTGTCCAACACAGGTCCTGGGAACTGAACTCAGGTCCTATGAAAGAGAAGCAAACACTCTTAACTGCTGACTGAGCCATCTCTCCAGCCCCTCTTACTGTTTTTGATCATGCCTCTGTGCCTCAAGCTCACACTTGTGACCTAGGGCCAGGAGTCTCTCACCTTCCTTTGCTTTGTGGTGCTGGAGCTGGAACCCAGGTTGCTGGCACGTTAGCAGAATGCTCTACCACGGAGCCCTGCCTTCTTCCCTGTGTGTGTGCGTGGTTCCTGCTTGACAGAAGGGTGGTTAACCAGCCAGAGGTTTTTGGTGTTTTTGTGTGTGGTTTTTCAAGACATGGTCTCTCTGTGTAGCCTTGGCTGTCCTGGATCTCGCTCTGTAGACCAGGCTGGCCTTGAACTCAGAGATCTACCTGCCTCTGCCTCCTGAGTGCTGGGATTAGATGTGTGTGCTACCATGCCTGGCAACCAGCCACAGATTTTAAGACCAGGTAGACATCAAGAACGAGGGCAGGGGGCAAACAAAGTCAGGCAATGCTCCAACACCACGATGAGCCTGCATTTCGTGGCCGGCCGCAGAGAGTGCCAGGACATTACTGAGAGCTCCTGCACAGGGCCAGACACCCAGCAGAAGGCTGCTCGGGTCACCTGTAGCCTCAGGACCTTGACCTTGGCCGAGCAATGGAGACTGCCTCCAGCTGAGCTCAAGGCAGCTGCTGCTCTTTAGCAGGGTACCAGATTTCACTGCAGGAACAGGACAACCGTCCTCTCTAGTTCCAAAGGTCACAGTGTGAAATGGTTCTCACAGGGCCAAGCATCAGGGTGTCCCTTAGCCTGCCCCTTTCAGGAGCTTCTGCCATGGCCAGAGTCTGGCACCTTCCTCCACTCTTAGGCTCGTAGTCCCGATCCATCCCCCAAGCCAGGCAGTCAAGTGTTTACCCACCTGGCTGGTAACATCGGCTGAGCAACCTGATCTCATCACTACCTACCTGTGTGGTGGGGGCTCAGGGTTAGCCCACAGTGGGGCTGTTGTCCTGCTCACCACAGCTAAGCTGGGGCTGACCAGCCTGAGAGGTCAGAAGCTGCTGCTGTCACACCTGCAGAAGGCACCTTCTCTCCAGCCTGTCTCACGTCTTCTGCTATGGTGGCTGCTTCAGGCATGGGGCTCATTTCTGGGAGGTGCTGAGGTTGGAAGCTTAAGACAGGGTGGGGAGGAACATGAGGAGACTCCCTGAGTACAGGCAGGTCTGTGACAGAGAAGCTGCCCTTCAACAGAGCAGCAGGGCCGGGGTGGAGGTGGGAGGTCAGCTTCAGCCTGTAAGGGCAGGGCAGATACGGGGTCAGGAGTGGAGGGAGACAGCTAGTCACCCCCTTTGCCTGCAGACTCCTTGCCTTTCCCAGTCCTGGTGGACGTTTTTGTAGCTCCAGGAAAGGTCACAGTGGACCACCATTCACAAAGGTCCTGACCTGGGCTGCTGACGTCAGAAGAGGCTCTCGTTCTAGAGAGTTCAGTTGATAATGGTGTCCATGAGTCATCACCATCAAAGACAGCAGCAGCACCTGACCCCATTCCCAAAGCCTCAGCTGGAGCCTTTGGTGAGCAGGCTTTGTCTTCAGAATCAACTGCAAGCTTTTGTTTTCCCTTCCAGTTTTCCTGCATGTTCTTCGGAGCAGTTTCTTCTGAGCAGCAAGAACACGCCGGCCACCCTTTGGACAGCCTGGCAATAGCAAGTGACAGTGAAGAAGACATGAGGGGATGAGTGTCCACAGCCGGACGGACGCTCAGAGATAGCTGCACCGGGTGCTGAGCCCTGGCTCCTTGAAGGCCAAGGGAGAATGGACCAGACACTGTTCCTGGGCTTTCTTATATCACTATGCACTACAAATCCATTGTGCCACTTGGGGACAGAGCTGGGCACAGGAATGAACATATCAAGGTTCTTTGTTTTGCTTTTTTGAGACAGGGTTTCTCTGTGTAGTTTTGGTGCCTGTCCTGGATCTTGCTCTGTAGACCAGGCTGGCCTTGAACCCAGAGATCTGTCTGGCTCTGCCTTCAGAGTGCTGGGATTCAAGGCGTGAGCCACCGTCACCTGGCCATAACAAGGTTCCTAGACACCGTTTACCCTGCAGCCTTGACATGTCCTCTGCCGGTCCGTAAAGGCAGACTTTCCTCAGCATCTCGGTGGAAGGGGGCGTTTCTCAGGAGCCCCTAGGACTCCTGGGTACATGACTGAAGACAACAGTCATGCAGCCCTTCTTATGCAATGACCTGGCAGTTTCTGTTCATTGTAGGTTGTGAATAAAGAAATCTACAGTTTATCCCTCACTTTGTGGTCATTTTATATACTATAGTTTTATTTCCCAAGCTTCATTTGCTCTGGTTCCTGCATGATACGCAGTGGGATGCAGAAAGCATGTAGTGGAGCCAAGTATGTCTGAGTCATCCCCAGACGCAGCAGCCCAGGCTCAGGCTGCAGTGGAAGAGGGAGGGGAGGCAAATGCCTGTCCATTGCCCCCCTCAGATCGAGCTGTTTACCTGCACAAACACAATGTTATGTAACACCTCACACTGTGTGACTCTCTCCCCCAAACCTGTTCACAGTCAATTACAAGCCGATAAAGGAGCCTCTGGTAACATCTTAGTGCTAAGTTTTCGGAAAACCATCAAACCATAGGAAATGTCAACCAGCAGGCCACTGGACTTCCGACTCTGAGAAATTGGAAGTGCTGCCTAAGTGGATTAGCGTGCTTCAGAAGTATGAGGAGATTCTAGCTGAAACCAGAGTGATTTGGCTCTTGTAGCTTAGCAATGAGTCACAGCTGCCCACAGCAACCTAATAAAAACCCAACTTTATCCCAAGATGTTCCTCTGTGAATGAAAATGGGCTTTCACTGAGCTTTTTGTGGAAGCTGGCAATGCCCACCTATCTCGACGCTGTCCTCTCTGTTGTAGGCTCCGGACTTGCGAATCTCATGTTTACAATGATGACTGACTGGATTTCTGACATTCCTAACTGATGCAGGGGGCTGCAGAGCAACTCGGTAGGTCTCCCTGCTAAGGACAAGGCCTGGGCTCACTCCAAAGCACCTTTGGTCAGCAGTAGCCTGAGTCCAGCCCTATTCTATAACAGTGACACTGTTACAAGTACATAGGGTTTTGAAATTACAGCAGAGCTCAAGCAAGGTGTGTGTGTGTGTGTGTGTGTGTGTGTGTGTGTGTGTGTGTATGCATGCGTACGCGCGCTCTCTCTTTCTCATGGTTCTGGGGTGGAATCCAGGGCCTGGCACACACTAGGTCGGTGCTCTGCCGCCAAGCCCTGGCCCTCACGGCAGCAGATTTTGGTAGCTTCACTCAGTACTGTTTGGAAGGCACAATGCCCCAGCTGGAAAAAAGCAAAAACAAAAACAAAAACAAAACCCTCTATTTTACACTCGATTGCCAGTCCATTTTGGTGAATTTCCAAGGAAGACAAACAGCTGCTGATTAACAGCCACACTGGTTCAAATGGCAAAGCACAGAAGACACAGCTCTGAAGTGCTGGCTCCCTGTTGGGTGGACCAAGAGGCTTGGGGTTGAGGATGTGACAGGGAGGACCACAATGCCGAGAGCTGATGTCTTAGCTCCTGACCATTCAAACCAAAGGAGTGGCCATTAGTATAAATACTATATTTATTAAATATCTTTACAGTTTATTGAAATGTATTTACAGAACTATTCCTGCATAAGTTATATTTCAAACATCGATTCAGGTCATTGCCTCTGGTAGGACAAACGATGATAGTCTCAACAGAAAACACAGCTCATCAGCATACACACATTCAGATTCGCTTCGTCACTTAGTTGTCTTTACCACAAACTACCTGCTAACAGTGACATCTTGACATGGACACTGCTGTGGTTGAGAAGTTCAATTTTGTGATAAATTGACTTTTTGGAAAGAAATAGAATCCAAATGTCTTCTGGTTCATATTTTGCTTTTTATGCAGTTTTTTTTTCTTGGTATCGAAAAATTTTTCTTAAATGCAAAACTGTGACAGTCTCCAGAGAAACTGCGTGTTCCAACTTTGCCAAAGATAGCTGTCGTACAGTGACAAGGAGCCATGAACCTACCCGAAAGTACAAACACATACAGCCCTATCCAATCCTGCCGGCCACCTCAACACTCGCCGGGATGGCAGCCCCGTGAGCTCTCACTGCCTACTCTATCCAGAACGAGGGCAGCGGCAGAAAAGGGCAATCTCCTGCCTCAGAAAGCTCATACTCAGTCTCTACTCCAGACACGCACACCTGGAATGGATTCTTTGAGTTAGGAACCTATCAACCAAGTCAAGCACGCACAGTGCCTCGGGACAGACCTTGTTTTTCTCCTCGATGCTTTCCATTTCTAAGAGCCTAGGGACTCTAGCTACTTCATCTCCATTTGGTAATCTTACTTACTTTTTTGTGCGCAGGCAGCTTCAGTTCATAGGAAGAAATAAGGTTCTGATATGTTTAGAGTGCACATTTTTAAAACAGAACAAAATAAAAATTTCAAGCATGTGATAAAAATAGTGATTTTTTTTTATAATACAGTATTGCTTTATAAATATAGATGGAAAAGCTATAAACTTTACTGGTCTTTGGTGCATCCAGAGAGGGATAAATAATTTGCCATTTGTAAATTAAAATCCAAATTTCTCTTTTGTTATAAAAGTTCACTCCGTGAGACAAATACGAGTGCTTACATTGCTTGATTTAAAATACAATGCACGGGCACACCAGGTTCCAAATGGGACCTAGCGAGGGGTGTGTGACAGCCCCTGGCCATGGCGAGTGCGAGGCGGCACACTCCACCTGACCTCCGACAATCATAAGGTTAAGTGTATAACAAAAAGGACAGGGGAGAAGCAAATGGAATATGCAATGTCACTAGTCCACGCGCCAGGCCCAAAGTAATCTTCACTCTGCATCTCAATGCCTGTCCCATGGGTTTCAGTGTACTAGAACAGTCCACTGTCCATTTCTAACAATCACTGCTCAGAAAAGTGAATTGACTAAGTTGTACAAAATACACCAATTTACCTTTATAAAGATTGCTTGATGGGCTAAACAAGAGCAGAAAAAAAGCCAGTGACTTGACCAGCTCTGCTCTTAGCAGGAATTAAATGTTGGCATTGGAAAATTAATGCAAAATATATCCAGATTGTAAGGCTACACTACTTCTGACCAGAAACTAATTACAGAGCACACGGGAGAGTCGAAGTAGTCGGTCCTAGGGTCACACACCCCATCTGGATGCAACCTTACTGTTTCAAACACAGACACTGCAAAGAGTTTGTGCAAAATAAATACCCACCACGTGCCCCTCATGCTCCGTGGTCAACAGAGCATGGCATCTCCTTATCCCAGTCTCCTTCCATACCCAGCCCCTGTACCTCCTCACCAAAGAACTCAGTGTTGTCAGGTTAGGGTAGTTAAGGCATTCTGACATGTAATTAAAGGTGATTCAAAATAGGAATCTAACATTATGCCAATTTAGGAATAGTAGATAAATTACTGAACAGCTTACAAATGAGTACCTCATTCTTATCAACGAAATAAACGCCTGTTACAAGCATGGTGCACTGAGATACAGCAGTGACATGTACATGGTACATGGTAAACAATTTAAATAAAACAAGAGACAGCTACTCAAACATACAAACTCACAGACAAAATCTCTTACAAACAAGTTGAGGTAACCTCAAACACAAGGTCAATGCAGTAACCAGGGAGCCGGTGTCTCCTGCAGAGGGAGGGCTGTGTGGCTGCTCACGCGATCTCACACCAACATCACCTGACTCGCACGGGAAACACGGCTCTAACTAAGGGCTTCTAAGTAGATACGGTTTTCTACCACCAAGTTAAAGAAGGGCAAGAACGGACCCAAAAATATGTATCTTTACAGCAGTCAACTGTACATAAACCTGCAAAGGAAGTGTGCACTCACAAGTAATGGGGATCTGAGAAGGAACGTTACCTACTGCAAATGGCTATTGGAACTGTAAACATTAAGCTGGACTCAGAACCCCACACTCAGCTGGGGTCACCGCGAATGTCAGGTCATCACTAGCTTTCCTGTGGCCTCTGTGTGCTGCAGCCACCACGCTGTCACCTTGAGGACACAGCACAGTTGGGACATGCTCTACGGTGTGAGGCTCCTGAGGGAAGGGGCGAGGCTGTCCACAGCCCACCCCATTCCAAGCTGCAGCTGCACACTCTTGCCCGGGAAGGCCGGGAGCATCCTCACAGGCAGAGCCGCCGCCGACTTCAGCTGCAGCATTTGATTCTCAGGCTTTGAGGAGTTTTGCAATTTTGCGTTGCATTTCTGTTAGTAGATTTTGGTAAGGAGTCTCCTTCCTCTATCCCTCCTGTGGGCTGGGCCTCCAGCCTGTGACCTGGACAAATCATAAAACTGCCACAGCTTCAATCACAGGAGCACAGTAAGCATCTTTTTAAAAAGCACAAAATATTTGCATCCAGAGAACGAAAATTTTCTTCCAATTTGTAACTAAAACCGTTAAGTTGCTAGGGTTGGGATGTCATAACCCGGCACACAGTTTTGGAGCAGGACTGTGGGCTCCTGGAAAACAGGAGTTTATACAGAAACGCGAAGCCACACCAGGCCTAGCAGAGACTGTGCCTGTGGGACATGGGGCTTCTCCTGGGAGGGTCCGTGTGTTTTCCGGTAAATGTGTCACTATTTTCTATTTGTTGAATGTTAACATCCCTTTAACACACTGAAATTTTAAATTCACTTTACCAACATTACTTTGTCTCAAAACTTCAACTGCTTTTGAAAAGTAAAAGGCTTTGAAAACCTCCAGGAGAGGGAAGCGGTCACCTCGCTTCTCTTGGCGGTCACCAGCAGGTCCGGGCTAGTGGATGACAGTAGTGGTTCTTAACAAGGATCGCAATGGGTCTCAAACATGGGCCAGGCATCCGTCATTGGCCACTGAGATCAGTGGCAAAGAAACGTGGTCCTGCCAGCAGGATCAGCACACATGGCAGGGAAAGTGGACAACAAGGGGAGGCAGGAGTTGCCAGCGTGGCCAATCAGTCCGTGTACTCAGCCACTATCGAGAGGAGGACGGTGATGTCATCTGGCTTGCCACCTACGACACAAATGGAACTCATGAGTGTGCGTGAAGGAGAGCCTGTCCAAGATGTGGCCCAGGTAAGCACTGCAGAGACAAGGGCTCATGTTCCGGTGGATCCGGTTTGCCTGGGCACCAGAGTGGAGCACAGTTAAAGCGGCAAGCTCCAAGTTTGGGAAGATTGGGAGCTCAAGCCTGTATCATGTGATT